AGAGAGAGAGAGAGAGAGAGAGAGAGAGAGAGAGAGAGAGAGGAATTAAACAATGAGGAAGGAGCTTAAATTAAGAGAAGGCATTATGGCCTCCTGCAACAAGGTCAGCATGAAGGATGTTTTAGCATCTTCTCCTGATCTACCCACTGCTTCGTCTTAGGATACTCAATAGTTCTATTCTGAGTGAGCACATCATACATTTTTGACAATACAAGGTTGTAATGAGCAAATGGGAATTTAAAAAGCTGGGATTGTGGATTTCACATAGTTATTAAGAGTAATCCTGTTAGGTTAGGCATGCCTAAATAATGTCCTGCATCTGCCCGCTGGGAAGGAAAACTCCTAAGTTGACCTGCTTTTTATAGCTGCATGTGGTCGCATGCCAACCATCTGCAGTTAAACACAGAATTCAAGAAACTGTTCCTGCCTAAAGTACATATTTCAAACACAAGTACAAATGACTATAAACAATGTGTATGCACTCCAGTCTAAATGTTTGTCATTCTTATAAATGAGTTATACTTGCCTTCTTCTTAAAGATGGGCTTTGTCCACAGTCCAGAGACGACCATCTGCTCATAGGTGCATGACGAGTGTCCAGCAGGGTCTCATCTCCACCTCTGCCACTCTGACAGCTACCATCTGAGAAATACTTGAACTCTTCACCACTCCAAAGGCCTTCTCCTGTGTACAGGCTGCTGCTGCTACTATATCGAGTTTCCACAGTTTCTCCCTCTTCACTGTGAGAACTGTTGAGTTCTGATGATAAAACCTCAAACCCATGCATTTTTTTTAAAGGAACATGAAAAATCCTGGATTTCTGTGTAAAACCTAAACATGTATAAGAAAAAGAGAACAGTTTTTCTTGGTTTTTAACTCTTTATAAGATTTAAAAACTGAAAGAACTTTTAATAGTCATCTTATATTAATGCATATATGAGTGTAACTTAAGACTAAAATTATTGTCACATCAGTAAATATAAGAGATTCCAAGCCTATTGAAATAAAAACCATATAATGTTACATTTTATGGGCCTTCAACAAATCAAATAGCAGTAAACCAGTAAAAAGAAAACTATTAATCTTTGCTCAGAGCATGTCATACTGTGTAAGGTAGAAAGAGTCTCTGCCTCTTCTTGCATGTCCTGAGTTGCTGGAATATGTGTAAGAGATGGAGGTGCTTCTAGCTGCCATTGACTGGCCTCATGGTGCAGTGGTTTGCTGGTAAATACAGTTAAAAATTAGTGCAGTATCAGAAAGATGGTACATGAGGAATGATGTGTTACATCATTTAGTACTTACACCTTGTGAACAATGGGTTTATCGAAAAACAGACTGTCCAAGGACAAGGTGAAGTCATCAGCATCCTGCATCTCTGAAGAGAAAACTCACCAAGTCTTAGTGTGAATCTAGATGAGAAACAACTGATTATTGGAACAAATGTGAATTTATAATTACTCTCTTGTTAAAGCTAATTCATCATGCATCTCAAAAATCTAATTACATCAGCAGTACTTGAATCAGAAAGGATCTTGATAAAATATCTGGTATACTAAACTGTAAAAAAATGTTAACGTATGACTCATGGGCAAATGTCAAAAATGAAACTATCTTAGTTACTGCACTGTTTATTGGGTATGACCTCTGTTAGCTTTAAACAAGCTAACATCCAACAGCTAAACAACAATGGTGGCATTTTAGCGGTTTAAGTGCATAAGTGAGCAAAATATTTTTCTAAATTAACTGTGTACCCACCTGTAATAATAAAGTTTATCCACGTATATTAAAAAAGAATTCAATAAATAAAGAGTTTAACCCCTTGACCCGTATGTCTGGTTTGACAAATAGAATCGCTTCTCATCAGCTCGAGACTGACCTTTGAATCAAAAACTTTATTTAGATGTCTGTATTTTAACAAACAAGATTGTGTTCATATTTTTAGCATGGCGCCACATGTCAAAACAATGTGTAATGCTGGCTGCAAAGTGGAAATTGGATATATTATTGTTTAGTGTGTGGTTAAACATCTTGTTTTCTCCTGAAAACACGCCACGCAGATGCTAAACAGGAAAATTTCCAGTCATAGAAGCAACAAAGCCAGTGTAACCAACCTGTATGACAAATAATTTGTCTTCCTTGGTGACAACTATCAACAACAAATACAATTTTTGAAACATATAATTTCCAAAACAAATGAAAGGTTAGCTTATATTATCAATTAAAACAGCAATTATACGCTAGTACTTGAAAAGAAAAATCTTCTACCCAAAAATATGGTCATTCACTCTGGCTTTTATGCCTCCTATGTGGACTGAACCATTACACGTCTTTCGGGGGGAGCATGGCGCCGACGCGTCACAATACGTGAGGAAATTTACCGAGATGCTAACCTCAGTAATGTGTCATCTACGACTGCTGTATAAGCTTTAAACACATTTAAACATAAATATTTTAGTAATGAGTTGTTCTGTTTCTTCTGGGGGAAATAAGTGAGTGAATACCCGATCAAAAAATGATCTGCCCCACACCAGACCACCACGGAAAATGGCGACTGTGAAATAGATGGAAGACGAAAGTAAAAAATATATATATTAAATGCAGCGTTTAACTTCTCCGCTGGATCCATTTTCGTCGCTCGGAGGTAACGTTTGTTTGTTTACCATCGTGTTATTGATCGCTTTGTAGCAGTAGCTAGGGGTATTTGTCATTAGCTACAGTTTAGCCTGAGGAATAGGTTTTGGTGTGGAAATGGAATGGTCTGCAGCTCCTGCAACCAGCATCCAACAACACAGCATGATACAAACGACAAATCCACCCTTATATACCTTCACCAAACACAGCTATACTGGGTCGGGTTAGTTCTGAACGTAGATACGTTTAACAATATATTTCAGCTGTTGTAGGTTGGCAATTACTGAACTCCTGAGCTGAAAGTTTTAGCTCTGTACAAAATCCTCGACTGCTCATTAAAAGCCATTTTCCATGTCCATCCCTTTGCAGCTTTAATGCTGTTGTTCAGATCAGACAGTCCTCTTCATATGCCCAACACCATTCAGGTGCTATGACACTTTTATTGCCCTTCAAATACAAGACCTCTCACTCTTTCGACCTTGTAGGTTTATAAACGACCACGATCATATAAATCAACAAAAAGTCAATTATATTTTGTATGTAGCTTGAGTCTTTTTACTAGAAATAAATATATAGTACTTACCTCAGACTATATACATGGTTTGCTTCACGATAAAGCACATTTAAATTAGCAAGAGCTATAAAACCTTTTTAATCAAGATATTTTTCAGGCTATTCTTTTTTGTCTAATAAAAATGTAAAGAACTTTAATTTCCAAAGCAAAAAGCAACTAAACATTAAAAATTTAGAAGCTAAAACTGGTGGAGAATCACAAGTACTTAGCCAATCAAAATGGTGAATCAATCATTTACTAATTTTCTGTAAGTCTTTATTTAACCTTTTAGTTCTTATTCTAAACATCGCACATATTTTTAAACCAGAGGTAGCTATAAGTGGCTACAATGTTCATTAGCGTCTCCTTATTGAGGCCTTGTCTACACTAATCCAAATATTTTTTAAATAAACTTTTATCCTGATTATCTTGTTTATCTATTTTAACAAGATTATTACAAAATCACAAAAATACGTAGAAATGCCAATGGGAGGCAAGAACATTAACATTACATAGAATCATCAAAATATGGTGGGAGTGCATTCTTAGCTTGGCTAAAGATTTTCACAAAATGTAACATTTTTCTTGTTTTATTTTTAATTTTTTTCCCATAATACAGTAGTCCCTCATTTACTTGTTTATTACGGGTATTTGGTTCCAACCCCAAACACCCCCCAGCAGTAAGTGAAATTCTGCGAAGTAGTAATGTTAAATTTGTTTTAGTATTTATATATATTTTCAAGCTTTATAAACCCTTCTCACACTCTTGCAATGTTCTAAAACTCTTAAACCTATGTAATTTTAACAATATATGTACTGCACAGTAGCTACTGCTAAATTTTATATGGGGACTCATCAGCCTTGGTCCAGTTATGGTCAGGTTCTGGTCAGCTCTCTGCAGTGGCTGAGCACCAACACGCTTTTGGAGAGAGCCGGACCTTCGGAGAGCCAGCACAAAACCACACAATGATCCCGGTAAAGTCCAAATAATTCAGAGGGATCTGGATGAAAAAAGTGAGCTCCAGCAAAGACACCAGACCTCGAAGCAACGCTCCCCTCAAAAGGCTCTTTCACAAGATTCATCATTCTGGAACTGAATCTGCTGAACGGCTCTGTGTAGAGTTGCATTCGGGCCCAAAAAATCCGAGCCGACCCGGCACCAGCCTGTAGCCATAATTTCCGAATCCCTTCCAACTGGACAAATTAACAGTAATTACAGGTCCGAACCCGAATCACCTCCCCCTCGACATTTTTAACTAAGTTTTGACTGCTTATATAGTTATTAATGGTTGGCGGATGCACAGCTGAATAAAAGCAGAAGATCAGAGCTGAGGGGGTGTTTGTCCTTTCATGGCCGTCAAAGCGCATTAAAACCCTGTTTCTGCCAGCATTCTGCATTATTCAGACATGGACCACTCTGACACGTCTGCTTTGGGACCTCACCTGTTTGGGTCGTCGGCCACGTGCGTCCGCTGAGTGCAGCGGCTGAGTGAACGTCCATTTGGGTGATGGATCACTTCCTGGCAGTACAGTCTCATCTGAAGCTTAACTGAACTTTATTTTACCTCTTTTAAGTCCGTTCAGCTCGTAGTAAAATGGCTGCATGTGGCTGGCAAAGGTATGGCAAGCCATGTTGTCATATAATTGGATTGCAGCTGATCCACTGACGCAATCAAAAGCCTGACACCGACCCAGCCCGTTCCGAATTCGGACCGGACTTCAGACGCAGGTTAGACAGCTCTAGATATGTGCCACCAAGCAAGGTAGTAACAAATGTATCTATGGTATCTAGCTCCAGCAGTCATTGTGCGAGAGGCATGATACACCTTGGACAGGTTGCAAGTCCATCACAAGGACGCATATGGCACTTTGCCACTGTCTCAACTCTCCTCGGCTCTGCAGGACACAGCAACAGTTAAGAACCTCCCCAATATCCACCCCATTCAGCTCGGTTTATGGGACCACCTTGTTTGAGGTGCCAAGCAGGCTGCTCCAAGGGGCTGATATTGATGTAAGCAGAGAGCAGCCATTGATTGGCCAGTGATTGGAGCTACATCATTGGATGATCTGCCCAGCAAAACTGCACCTACATCTGAACCTCCACTTCCTCATCGTGTTGACGGATAGTATCATAAGAAATTTATGCATTTACCAAGAGCAATTAGAGATGATAGCGCTGCATGGCTACACCCGAACATATAAGCAGTGCCGAGATAAGCTAATGTATTTCATGTCTGATTATAGGGTGATTGAGGACCACAATGGGTGGAGTGACTCGTAACACAAATGACCAGTTATGATCCCGCCCACTTTGCATTGATGATACCACCCACAGAGTGGGGAAACAGTTCAGCCTCCTCTCTAGTGGCAAATCACTTAAACCTGAGAAGAATGGAGAAGAGGAGAGACAAGTAGAGCCCCATTTACCAGTGGTAAAGCAGCAATAGAGACAGACAAGATAGACAACCATTCACACCCTCACTCACACTTAAAAGCAATTTAGAGTTAGGGATTGGTATTTCAGTTATAATACTATTTGAAAATTACTGTCAGTTTTTTAAAATACACCTCAACCCTCTTTACCATCCTTCAGAACTCTTGCCCCCGCCAAACACAACATTCACATCTATCCATTCCATCGATTCATCCACAACTCCAGGGGGGAAATCTACACATCCCTTTTCTTAGTGACACTCTTTTCCTGGGAGAGTCTAAAGCCCCCAGTATACTGCCGCGTACGTCCATACGCAGAGGTACGCACATACGTATGCAGAGGTACGAGCGTACCCCCCCAGGGCATGTCCATGCAAAGCTCAAAATTTTACGACCGCATACGCGGTGTCGCACAATAAACTGCCCAGCGACGGACTGTTTTGTATGTGACACCAATGTATTAAATTCCCCTTCTTCATCCCTGATCTGGCCTTTTCTTTTGTTTTGTTTTTTTGCCAAGAGGCAGTGATCTCTTCCTCCTCCATTGATGCCATGACTGAAATGGTGAGAAATGATGGAATTTGTCACGAGCGAATTAAACTCAGGTCCAGCATGGCTGCGGGAGTGTCTGGAGATCTCCTGGTGGGCTGGTCTGATGTGTGGGCTGCAAAGTTAGCGCTCCCTGTTTTTTTTTGTTTTTTTTTTTTTTTTAGATCTTTTTATTAACAACATATAAACACAGAACACCGCTGTGGCTGAGGCTGCCAGTGCTCTTTTTTTTTTATTTTTCCCCGACCTGTCAATCAATCCAATAGGCGTGTCAGCAAATGACCAATCGGCGACCTCAATTTGTCCCTAAGGTAAACACCCCTTGTCTGTGAAGCTGCTCTGCAGCTGCTCGGGGTGTACGCTGGAGTACGAAGTATGAACCCTCTGCGTACAGTACACGCGTACGTACGCGTGAACAGACGTACGCGGCAGTATACTGGAAGCTTTCGGCATAAACATATAGAAAATGTGTAATTGCAACAGTGAATTATGAGGCTGCCTTGAGGTCTCATCTCAGTGGTTTATGTCTGGAAAACCTCCGTAGAGGTTCTCTGGAAGGGGCCAGACACAATCTAACAGTGTAAAAGGCATGGAGTGTGGCTTGTCGGAGCATTTTGTGTCAACATTCTGATTTTGTATTTTCATAGTTAAGAATTGAGACTGTACAGTAGTGTTGCTGGATAGCACAGTTGTTGTTGCTGTTGCCTTGCAAAGGTATAAGGTATCTAAATCAAAACTCTACTGTGGTCTTTCTGTCTGGAGTTTGCATGTTTTACTCATGCGTATGTGGGATTTTCTGGCTACTCCATTTTCCTCTCATAGTCAAAATACTTATAGGTTAGCTAGTGATTCTAAATTGGCCCTAGGTGTGAATATGTGCATGCATAATGTTTTGTATCCAAGTGGGCCTGTGATGTACTGGCAACCTGTCCAGGGTGTACCCCACTTCTTGCCCTATAATTGCTAGAGTGCCAGATCTTTTTCTCTAAAGTATCTATCTACAGCCACTCTTGCAGCCACTGACAATATTATCACATTGTGGCTGCCTGCTGAGCTTCTACCTGCCACCTCTAATGTTGATTGCCTTTTCTTGCCTTCCGGAGGGCAAAAAGTTTCATGCAGTCATAATACTGGTTTCAGAACGTATGGCCCCAGCTGGTCTGAATTAGGCATCTCTAATGATTGGACCTGGGTCCTTTGCAGCCAGTGTCATGTCCCATAACTGTCATATTTGTAAAACCTTGGTATATGCCAGAATTGGCTGGAATAATGTGGCCTTGCAAGACAGATGTCAAGCTCCCCACTCTGTTTATTCCTCATTTGTTACCTGGCAGTGGACTCTACTCAAAAGTCCCCTTGGACAAGGACAGATAGATATGGTAATTCATGGTGACCTGTTTTCTTGGTATGACAAGCTGGAATGGTTAAGGTAAAGCAATTTCTCTCCAGCCATAAACCTGGATCTCACCTCTGGA